AGGATGTCACCTCTGAAATGGCTCTGGGGTTGAGGACTGCCATCCCTGGAAGTGTCCAAGGCCGGGCTGGATGGGAGCAGCCTGGTCTGCTGGGAGGTGGAGCTGGATAACTTTCCAGGGGTGGAAGTGGATAACTTTAAGGTCCCTTCCACGGCAGCCCATCCCGTGAGTCCCAGATTCCGTGGTGAGGCCGTGTGCAGGCAGAGCTGAGGCCTGTGCAGCCCCGGGGAGTGCCGGCTGTGCACGCCCGGGGTTCTTTCTCACGAGATGGTGCAAGAGCCAGGGGGGAACTGGTTAAACAGCGTGAGCTGCCGGGGCTTGGCAGGGCAGCATGTCACCGGGAAGCCGCTGTTTTATTAAACACGCTATCAAAGTGGGCTCAAGTCTCTTATTAATGTCCACAAATTTTGCCACTTCCAAATAGTTTCCACCTACGTGTTCCTCCCACTGCTGCACTGGGTGCTGGCAAACATCTCTGCTCAAAGAGGGGAATGGCTTTCATTTGAATAGTCCTGGGGCGAGTTTCGCTGAGCCATGCCAGCGTCATTCCCGCGGCTCTCACGTGCCCGGCAGCGCTCCAGGGTCGTGCCGGAGGCAGGGCACAGGGACAACAGCCCTTGCTGTGTTTTCCCAGTGCTTTACCCAGGCAGAGCCCACGGCAGCCCGAGCCAGGGCAGTGAAGCAGCGATGGATGCACATATTTGCAGTATGAAATCTCGACGTGTGACTCGTGGCGGTTCCAGGGCAGCGAGCGCGGCCAGCTGTGCTATCGAGAGTCACACAGAGCAGAAACCGCCCGGCTTCACACCAAATCGGGCTCTTGCAGCTCCCAGAAGGCTGAGGCAGAGCTGGTGGGTGTCAAACTGCTCCTCACACCCTGCGCTGAGCTCCCACGGCATCCCTCGGGACCGCCTGAGCGCTGTGAGCGCTCCCTGCCTCGGACAGGTGGGAAAGGAGATGTGCAGCTCTCCCGGCAGCTCCTGGCTCAAAGAGGTGCATTCCCTCACCTCGATAAATGCACCTGGCTGGCTGCGTGCCACGCTGACCGCACTCTGCAGGGCCACAGGCCCCACGGGATGGAGCAGAGGAGAGAGCCCCGCTCCAGCCGTGCCAGAGACAGCCCGGCTCCCGCAGGAGCCCTCCCCGGTGCGGAAAGCACGGGCTGTGCCTGCCGGGGATGCCGAGGGCTGGGCGCATCCCGCCCGCCCAGCCTCGGCAGGGCTGAGCCTTCACCTCCGGTGCCAGTAACCCGAGCCGGGATTGCTGGAAATGGGAGAGAGGGAGAGTCAGCGATTTGATTACAGGCCACAGGCACATGCCTGGCCTTCATGGATATATTAAGTAAGAGACATTTTAAAACAAAACCACCCTCAGTAACCTTATCGTAAGCTCGAATCCACAACCCATCTGTTAACTCCCGGCGCTGCCCACATAGGCTTCCATCAGACAGCAGCGCCAGGGAGTTTTGGAACGTTTTCCCCAAATCCCCGCGGTCGGAAGGGGACAGTCCCCGGGGAAAAGGCAGATCCTGAGTCTCGGGTTCCCAGCCCACCCCCGAACCAGCCCCCAAGCTCTCACCTTCTCGTGCCTCTGTGAATAACTGCAAATCCCCTTGGACACGAGCTGTCCTGTGACTCCCAGCCCTGCTGCAGGAGAGCTGCTGCTCCACGGATGGCTCGAGGGAATTCAGCCTTTCTAAACATTCTAAACTGCCTGAATCGTGTGGTGTAAAGGAGCCCTCCATGTAGAAATAATTCAGCAAACACAAGCGAGAAGGCGAATTGATGATTGCATCAGTCCTTGCTCATGAAAACTGATCCCCAGGAAAATGTAACTCAACTCTCGAGCAATCTCACTTGATGCCCAAGAATGCAATAACTTCATCTGGATCCTCCTTTTAGGGGGACTCCTAAATCCTTGGCAACGTCCCTTAAGGTCATGAGCAAATCCTGATACGGAGAATTGTTTGGCAAGCACGAGAACAGTAAAAGGGCTAAATAATTGGGGATTACCTCTGACCCTGATTTGTGGCTCACCACCCACTGCAGGAATGTACCAAATATCTGAAGGAGCATGCAGGAGTCAGACAATCCACGGGCATGAAGCCGTCCACGTACTCCTGGAGCCTGAACTTCAAATGCAGAGCAGGTTGGCCCCAAACCTCATTTTTCATTAGCAAAAGGCTGCAGCAAGCTCTAATTATTTCTGTTGCCTTGGACAAAGGGTCAGTGATGGGACAGATGAAAAATTGTCTGTGTTTTTTTTCACCCTTTGTTTGGAAAATAACTTCTTTGGTCTTGGGGGCACAGAGAGAAGGAACTGTCTGCTGCAGGGCTCCTTACTGAGGCTGGTTATGGTTCCCTGAGCTGCAGCAGGGACAAACACATCACCCCCATGTCCCTGATGGTTATTGCCGAGTTTGTGCAGCGCCTGCAGGAGAGAGCAGCTCTGCTGTGGGGGCTCTGAGCTGCTCAGAGCTCCGTGCCCAGCCCCAAATCCTCTCCTCCGGGGTGCACCAGGGCTGTGGCACCACAGAGACCCTCAAGGTCCTGCCCGTGGCAGGGGCTGCATTGAGATATCTTTAAGGTCCCTCCCAACACGAACCATTCTGGGATTCCAGGATCCTGGCCACAATCACCAGGTTTGCAGGCTCGGGTGTCAGACACTGAGGGGATTGTGTTGAGTGGGACAACCCAAGCATCTGCTTTGTGGGAGCCCCGTGTCACTGGTGCAGTGCTGTGTTCACACTGGAGGTGCTGCTGGCAGCTTCTAGAGGAGATTTTGGGCTTTTACAGACCTTGCATTTATGCCTAGCATCTTTCTGAGGCTCCAGCTTCCCTTGGGATTCTTCCTGGTAACAGCAGACACCTTTGGATGGGGGTAAGCCTTAAACAGCCCCTCTCCGTCACCCATCCAAACCTCTCTGTGCTCTCATGGAGCACTCCTGCCCTCGGATTCCTCCCGGGGTGGAGCAGCCAGGACAGTGCAGGAAATAGCAGCAGCTCAGTGCTGGAGCTCTGCTGTTCCCTTATCTCGGTAAATGCACCTTTTATCAGCTGAGCCTGCCTCTACTTGCTCAGCACTCAGCAGGGAAGTGACCACGGCCCTTCAGGAGAGCTCTGCCTTGGCAGGCACACACCAGCCATTATCATTGCTGGGCGTTGTGCAACCGCTGGCACGGGCAGGGCATGGCATGGCATGGCATGGCATGGAAGGGTCTGGGCTGGAGGGCACCTGGAATTGTCATCACTGCACCCCGCCGTGCTCAGGGACACCTTCCACTAGACTGGGTTGTTCCATGCAGCACTGCCAGGACCCAGGGGCAGCCACAGCTTCTCCGGGAGCCTGTGCCTCCAGGTTGTTCCATGCAGCACTGCCAGGGAGCCAGGGGCAGCCACAGCTTCTCCGGGAGCCTGTGCCAGGCCTGCCCACCCTCACAGGGGGAATTTCCTGCCGATCATAGAGTCACAGAATGGTTTGGCTTGGAGGTGAAAGCCCACCTCGTTCCAGCCCCTGCCAGGGATGGACACCTTTCACTGGAGAAAGTGACTGCAAGCCCCGGATACCCCCAGGAATGGGGTCCTACCACCCCATAACTGCAGCACCACCATTTCCCCAGAGCCACATTTTAGCAACTCTCACTCATTTTATTTCCCCCCCAACATTTCCAAACTTCCGCGGCTGCAGCTTTCTCTGGGTCTGTGTTGTGTGCCTGTGTTGCTTTGGGGGTGATTTTTTTTGGTTGTTTTTTTTTTTCTTTCTCCCCGATCTCGGGACGCAGCAGCAGTACCACATGGTCGGGCACGGTATGGCACAGCAGGGCACAGCAGGGCATAGTGTGTCACTGTATGGCACGGTATGGCACGGTATGACATAGCCCGGTATGACACTGTATGGCACAGCATGGTATGACACTGTATGACATGGTATGGCACAGTATGGCACAGCATGGCATGGTATGGCACAGCCCAGTATGACACTGTATGGCACAGCAGGGTATGACACTGTATGACACGGTGTGGTATGGCATGGCACGGCATGGCACGGCATGGTATGACATTGTATGACACAGTATGGCATGGTATGGCACTGTGTGACATGGTATGGCACAGCATGGCACGGTATGACACTGTATGGCACACTGTGGCACGGTATGGCACGGCACGGTATGACACTATAGCACAGGATGGTATGACACTGTATGGCACGGCATGGCACGGCACTGTATGGCACGGCACGGTATGCGGTATGACACTGTATGGCACAGCACGGTATGACACTATGGCACACTGTGGCACGGTACGGCACGGTATGGCACAGCACGGTATTACATTGTATGGCACAGCATGGCACGGCACTGTATGGCACGGCACGGTATGACATTATGGCACAGCAGAGCACAGCACGGCACGGCACGGCACGGCACGGTGTGACACTATAGCACAGGACGGTATGACACTGTATGGCACGGCATGGCACGGCATGGCACGGCATGGCACGGCATGGCACGGCATGGCACGGCATGGCACGGCATGGCACGGCATGGCACGGCATGGCACGGCATGGCACGGCATGGCACGGCATGGCACGGCATGGCACGGCATGGCACGGCACTGTATGGCACGGCACGGTATGACATTATGGCACAGCAGAGCACGGCACGGCACGGCACGGTGTGACACTATGGCACAGCACAGAACAGCACGGCACGGTGTGACACTATGGCACAGCAGAGCAGAGCACAGCACGGCACGGCTCGGCACGGCACGGCACGGCACGGCACGGTGTGACACTATGGCACAGCACAGAACAGCACGGCACGGTGTGACACTATGGCACAGCACGGCACGGCTCGGCACGGCACGGTGTGACACTATGGCACAGCAGAGCACAGCACGGCTCGGCACAGCACGGCACGGCACGGTATGACACCATGGCACGGCACAGCACGGCTCGGCCCGGCCCCAGCCGCCCCCCGCGCCGGGACACACGTGCGCGGCAGCGCCCGCAGCCCCTGCCCGCCCTGAGCCCCCCGCTGCCCGCCATGGAGCGCATCCCCAGCGCGCAGCCCCCGCCCGGCTGCCTGGGCAAGCTGCCCGCCCTGGACAGCGGAGACCTGCCGGGGTAAGCGGGGCCGGGGGGCTCGGGGGGCTCCGGGGCGGCGGCGCTGCGGGACGGGGCTAACGCGCTGCTCTCCTTTCGCCCGTGCAGGCTGGACTTCGCGCACATGTACCAGGTGTACAAGCCGCGGAGGGGCTTAAAGAGGAGCGAGGACAACAAGGTAAAGGGGGAACACGGGGGGCGATGGGGTAAACGGAGGGGTAACGGGGTAAATGGGGGGTTAACGGGGTGAAGCGAGCGGTGGCAGCGCTGCCGGGGCCGGGCTCGGCGCTGCCGGCGCGCTCGGGACGGGCGGAGCGGGGCCGGGCTGCGCTGTGCCCCGCTGACCGCTGCCCCGGCCCCCCAGGAGACCTACAAGCTGCCGCACCGGCTGATCGAGAAGAAGAGGCGCGACAGGATCAACGAGTGCATCGCGCAGCTGAAGGACCTGCTGCCCGAGCACCTCAAGCTGACGGTAGGTGCGAGCGGAGGGACGGGGCTCTGCCGCCGCTTCGCCGCCGATTTCGGGTGGCTTTTTATTTTTTTTTTATATTTTTTATATTTTTAATTTTTTTTTTTCTCCGCGGTGCCGCACGCCCCGGGCAGGCTGTAAGCGCATCCCGAACTTGCCCGGGAGCTGCGGATCGCTGCGGGATCTGCTCCCCGCACCGCTGCCGGGCGGAAGCCGTCCCCGGCCGGGCTGCCCGCTCACCGTGCCAGCAGCGGCAGGAGCGATAAATGAAACGCTTCTTTCCGGGCTGGTCCGAAAGTACCCGCAGGGCTCCGCGAGAGCCTTTCCCGTAGCCCGCTTTTGCGCTGGTTTCCCTGGAATGTTGCCGGTGGCAGTCCTGCCGGCTCGGGCTCTCCCCGTGCCCGCGGCTCCCGGGAAGGCGCCGGCGGCTCCTGCCGGCGTGGCCGAGCCGGCGGCGGGTGCCAACCTGTCCCTGTGCTCCCAGACTCTAGGTCACCTGGAGAAGGCTGTGGTTCTGGAGCTCACCTTGAAGCACGTGAAGGCGCTGACCAATCTCATCGAGCAGCAGCAGCAGAAGATCATCGCTTTGCAGAGCGGTTTGCAGGCGGGTGAGTGCTCAGCCTGAGTGTGTGTGATGGGCTTTCCCTGGGGAGCCTGAGAAATGCGCTTGTGACACCTTGTTCCCGAGAAGGGAGGAGACGGGAATTCTGGCCTTTCGTGCTGTCATTTTGTCTGGCTTTGCTTGTGAGCTTTCACAAAAAAAAAAAGATGCATTGCTCAAGACAGTCAGTGCAGAGTGCCCTGGGAGTTGTTTGAAATTAAACTGGGGTTTAAGCAGTTTTAGTTACAGCCCAGGTTTGCTGTGAGGCTCTCTCCAAAGCCATTCGATTCTCCCCATTTGTGTTTGTGAGCTTTAGATAACCCAGTCTGGTTTATTAGGTTGTTTTTCTCTGGAAATAGATATAAATCTGCTTTCTATACCCACCTTTTTAAGTTTCTTTATAACCGAGCAGGGCTGTGCTCTGCAGGCAGAGGGGACCCGGTGCTTCAGCTTATCAGCCTCAGATGCACTTCCTCCTGCTGTTTTCACATGTGGCTCTCACGTGAATCGGATACAGTAAACCCGAATTTTTCGGAGGCGCCTGTCCCTGCCCCGGCAGCCACAGGGAGTGCAGTGGAGCTGCCGGAGCAGCGAGTCCCCTGGGGCTGGCGGAGCTGCTGGCAGGGCCGGGAGCTCCCTGCCCCGAGGAGCAGGGCGAGGTGCACCCTGCCTTCCCCGGGGGTTTCCTGCAGAAGCCACAGCTTAACTCGCTCCCCTCCCCGCACTCCAGTACCTGTTGAAAGTGCATTTTAGAGTAAATAACAAAAAAGAGCAGGCAGCACTTTATGTAAAGTTGTTATGTAAAAGTGGACGGGTGGATGTTCCAATGGAACTGTCCATTTCTGGAGAAATCTGGGGATTTCTGTTCACAGAGTCCAGCTTGGCCACTGCATTCCCCTCTGGCTGTGCTGTAACTCAAGTCCAGCATCGCCTCCGGTCCGCCTCGGAGCTGGAAATGGAACTGTTTAGCATGTTGTTAATTTTTAATTCCTTTCTGTTAATGTTTCCTTAGGTGACCTGTCATCGAGAAACCTCGATTCCAGCCAGGAAATGTTTCGATCCGGTTTCCAGATGTGCGCCAAGGAAATGCTGCAATACCTGGCAAAGCACGAGAACGGCAAGGAGCTGAAGTCGTCGCAGCTGGTCAGCCACCTGCACCGCATGGCCAGCGAGGTGCTGCAGGGCGGGGCCGCCCGCAAGCCCGCCGACATCCCTCCCAAAATGCTGGACTTGAAGGAGAAGCCGGCGCCCCTGGGCGCGGCGGGCGAGGGCCACGGGAAGAACTGCGTGCCCGTGATCCAGCGGACATTCGCTCACTCCAGCGGGGAGCAGAGCGGCAGCGACACGGACACGGACAGCGGCTACGGGGGAGAGCTGGAGAAAAGCGACTCCAAACCCGAGCAGCCCTATTTCAAAAAGGATACCGACCTCAAGTACGCTGTCCAGGAGAGAATAAGCTCTATCAAGCAAGAGACTGAGGACCCGCCGGCCAAAAGGAGCAGGCTGGAGTCGCCGCAGGACGAGGGCCCTTTTGGCAGTGACATGATGGGCTCTGCCGGCGCCTTCCTGGGCCCCCACGCTCACCAGCCTCCCCTGTGCCTGCCTTTCTACCTGATCCCGCCGTCCGCCACCGCCTACCTGCCCATGCTGGAGAAGTGCTGGTACCCGGCCTCGGTGCCCGTGCTGTACCCCAGCCTGCCGGCCTCTGCCGCGGCACTGACGGGCTTCATGAACCCCGAGAAAATCTCCCCCCCTCTGCTGATGCCCCAGAGACTCCCTTCTCCTGTACCGGCCCATTCCCCCATCGACTCCTCGGCTCTGCTTCAAGCTTTGAAGCAGATTCCTCCTTTGAACTTGGAAACCAAAGACTGAGCGCAGTGTGACTGGTTCTTCTTTTTTTTTCTTTTTTTGGTTTTTTTTTTTTTTAGTTTGAGAGACTGTTTCACTTTTATATATTGGCTGGACTGAGGTGTGGGGATGAGGTTCACTGTGCGTAGGAAGCTAAATCCCCTTTTCTCTGACTCGTCAGGTAGCTTGGAGAAGGATGAAGGATGCGCCCAGGTTAGCGATTGACAACTGCTTCCAAAAGATTAAAGAAGGATTTTGTGCTTGGCCCCTTCCCTTCTTCCCTCTCCACATCTACAGAGCAACAGTTGACTCGGTCAGCTGCGAATCTGTTGCAAAGCTGTGAAGAAATATTCCATTGGGCAGGCCTGGTTTGAGGGTCTGCAAACACAAAATTCACGAATATAAAGCACGGTACTTCCCTGAGCTGCTCTGGAAGCAGCAGCCCCGCTGGCTCACCTGAGCTGGGCTGCTGTGCCAGTGTCCCCGAGTGTGGGGGTGGTGGCAATGCCACCGTGAGCACAGCAGGAGCAGGGCAGTGGCCACGGTGAGGTGGTGGCCGTGGTGGCAATGCCACCAGGAGTCCAGGAGGAGCAGGCCAGCGGTCACTGCCTGGTCCCACACAGGTCAGGCAGACCTGAGACGGGTTTCTCTCCACACCTTTGCTGATACATAGATATTTTTTTAAGAAATAAAAGGTAGCTGCTGCTTGGAGCTTTCCATGGCGTACATCTAATAAAGAAATTAACCTGCGCCCTTCCTGTAACTCGAGCTGCTGGGCCGGGCCGGGAGGAGCTGTCCCCGGGCTGGTGGCCCCGGCTCCAGCCCCTGCTCCCCCGGGAATCACCGCGGCTTCCCCGGCTCAGGCAGCGCCCTCCATCCCTGCCCTGTCGGTGCCTTTGGAGGATGCAGGGCTGGGATTTTCCGAGGAGCCGGAGCCCGGCGGGGTTTGAACATCTGGATTCCTCCTGGCACAGCTGGCTCGCGTCCCCTGCGAAGGAGAGAGGGCTCGGGTGGTGGCGCTGCTCCTGTGAGCTGCAAGGGGCTTTCTCCACCGAGGAACATCCTCTCCAGTTTAGCTTCTTTTTAATTAAAAACCCCAAACTTCACTGCTAAGGGCAGTGCTCTTTGGTGGGTTTTTTCTTACTGGTTTTGAGACCTGGTGAGCAGAATCCCTGTCTGGATCCTCATGTCGCCCTCCCATTGCACCAGCTGTTGAGATGCACTATGCTTGATTGCAGATTGTGTTCTAACGTTTATTTTGTTGTTGGTTTTTTGGGTTTTTTTGGTATACAGTTGTTGCCTTTATTTGTAAAATCCTGTTATAAATATATATATATATTATATAAATATATTAAAAGTTAAAATGTTTCAGATGTCTATTATTTGTATAACTACTTGAGCATAAAGAAGTGAGAAATATGAATGTATTCTTGTTTCTGGGTTGTCTTTTTTTTTTGAAGAGAAGAATATTCCGTTTTTCTCTCGGGAGAGGTACAGTGTTTATATTTTGGAGCCGCCTTCAAGGTGGGATATTGTACATATTTTTATCTTGAGTAAATGTTAAGTAGCTGTTTAAAAATGCTTAATAAAATAATTCTTTTCCTGTGGAAGATAAGGGTTTGCCTCCTTTGCTTTGAAATGTTTGAGCAGGGTCATTCCACATGGTCTGGTCCCACAGGGGATGGCACAGGGGGGAGCAGGAATTTGGGATGCAGGGGGGGGATGAGGGATTTTGGGGTGCAGGGAGGATGGGGGATCTTGGTGCAGGGTGGAGCAGGATTTTGGGATGCAGGGGGATGAGGGATTTTGGGGTGCAGGGAGGATGGGGGATCTTGGTGCAGGGTGGAGCAGGATTTTGGGATGCAGGGGGATGAGGGATTTTGGGGTGCAGGGAGGATGGGGGATCTCAGTGCAGGGTGGAGCAGGATTTTGGGGTGCAGGGTGGAGCAGGGCTCTCCTGCTCCCCCCCACAGCTCCTCTGCTGACGGTGCCTGAAGGAGCTCAGGGTCCCATTACCCGTGTCACCAGGGATATTTATTTATTTGAACTCCCTTGGCACCTCCAGGGATTTTTTTCCTTCCAGACTCGAGGGAGGTGCCAGGAGAGCCTGGCTGGCTTTCCTGCTCTCTCCTGATGTCACGTTGTGCTCCCCGTGTCTGGCATTTGGCTCCTGGGCCCCCAGCTCTGTGGGGAGGGGGCAGCCCCCCACCCTGGAGGATGCAGTGTCTCCAGAGGCTTTGCCCAGTTCCTGGAGGAAAATGGACTTGCTGCAAACTGGTTTCACTTCAGCACCTCCAGCCTGTGTGTGAGCAGCCCGGGCACTGCCAGGGGTGTGCCCAGCAGGTCCTGGGGCTGAGGGGTGCAAGGGTCGGGTCCTGCCTGTGCTGGAGTGATCCCTCCACCCCCACGTGTCCCCGGTGTCCCCGATTTGGGAATTCCAGCTGGCACTGTGGGTGGTGGAGCAGCCTGCTGCCTCCACTCCCAGTGCTGCAAAGTGAGCCTGAAGGTAAAGTCCTCACCCCAGCACAGCTCCCTCCCAGCAGCAAGGCTGGCTTCTGGTCTCCAGCTGAAATGACAACAGCCCCAAACCTCCCCAGAGGGAAAAGAGGGGTGAAGCAAAGGGATGGCTGGGAGGGCTCAGCTTCCCAGTGGTGCTGCCTGTGTGTGGATGGGGCACGGGCAGTTCTGAGGGGAATTTGGGATTTTCACTGTGCAGATGAATCACAAAACGTGGGGAGAGGTTTCAGTGTCCAGCTGGGCCAGCACAGCTCAGTCCTGGGCTGAGCATCTCCAGGACCCCACATGGAGAGGCTGATGCTCCTGTTAGACTGTGGTTAGAACTAAAGAAACCTTAGCTTCAGTAATGCTAGAAAAAAATGCTGCTTGGTGCAATGTGTTTGGGGTCTACACAGTCCCAGTGTTCACGTTATGTTTGCTTTAATTAGGGCTAAATATTGATTTACTGAAGCTGAGTGTAACAACCCCATTGGGGACAGCATTTGGTGCTCAGTGCAGAGGGGTCCCCAGCCTCGGGACCCCCGGGATTTCTGATCCTTTCCATGGCTCCCCTTTGGTCCTCATATTCTGACCCCCTTGTCCTGTGGTGGGACGAGCTGCAGGACTTCCAGATCCTCAGTCTCGCAGGAAAAAATTGCAAAAGAAGTGAAGAGAGAACATTCACTCAGGAAGCAAAAGATTATGATGGGCTGGGAATTCTCTCTGCCCCCCTGGCCTGGTGCCAGCAGGACTGGTGAGCTCTGTGGGAAGGAAGGAAGGAAGGAAGGAAGGATGGAAGGAAGGAAGGAAGGATGGAAGGAAGGAAGGAAGGATGGAAGGAAGGAAGGAAGGATGGAAGGAAGGAAGGAAGGATGGAAGGAAGGAAGGAAGGATGGAAGGAAGGAAGGAAGGATGGAAGGAAGGAAGGAAGGATGGAAGGAAGGAAGGAAGGATGGAAGGAAGGAAGGAAGGATGGAAGGAAGGAAGGAAGGATGGAAGGAAGGAAGGAAGGATGGAAGGAAGGAAGGAAGGATGGAAGGAAGGAAGGAAGGATGGAAGGAAGGAAGGAAGGATGGAAGGAAGGAAGGAAGGATGGAAGGAAGGAAGGAAGGATGGAAGGAAGGAAGGAAGGATGGAAGGAAGGAAGGAAGGATGGAAGGAAGGAAGGAAGGATGGAAGGAAGGAAGGAAGGAAGACCCCCGGCACGGTGCCAGCCCGGGACAGCCCGTGCCGCCGCCCCGCCGGGGTGTGCTGAGTTCCCGGGCTTGTTTTCATGGTCTCACCCAGCTCTGACCTGCCTCAAATGTTGACACAATGTCACGTTTCCGACTGCAGTCTTTCATGTGCAGCCGGAGGCTAAATACGGCTGCTGGTTCCTGGAAAAAGACGTGCCTGGCACCCTTTCAGCAGAAACCCGATCCCCATGCAGGCTTGGCACAACAGCTGAATAACACAGCAATAACTCTTTCAGCAGCATTTCAACCCATAAATAGGGCTTCCCGAGCGACTCCTTGAAGTCAGACAAGGAGGATACAATGATTTTGGGCGAAAAATTAAAAATAATTGAAGTTCGTGTGCGTGAAGAGCGGGTGGGAGGGGGCAGCGGGGTCAGGCACATCAAAGGGTGCCGTGGAGGTGCTGAGTGAGGTTTGCTGAGTGGGAGCGCACGATTGCCTCAAAAGGAAAGAAATGCTCCTGAATTTTTTACTGTCTCGGTCCTGTTTCATACCAGCCCTGTGGAGGCACAGGGAGAGCCTTCCTGAGAGCCAGGGCCTTTCCTAACCCCGGTGAGGACACACAGACACATAATTTTAGCTTTTCACCACCTGTTTGGAAAGCTCCCGTAGCTGGGCGCTGTGGGACTGGACGGTTTTTACAGGCATGTACCCCGGGAGCTGCTTATTTGCATTATGCATGGACCAGGGCCTAAAATAATCTGCAGTGACGCACATTTTTTTTTGCTGTGATTTTGTGATTTTCACCCCCCCCTTTTCCAGGACTCCGTTTTTCTGAACGTGCCGTGACTTTTGAGGACCACGCATGGTTACCCAGCCCGGGGCACTGCTGGAGCAGCTGGGGGGAGCTGTGACACACGGAGGGAGAAGTGCCCTTGTGCTCCTTGTGCTCCGCCTTGGCTTTCATCTGCAGAGCGTGTAGCTGCAAGTGCGGCGTGTTTACAAATGCAGGCATTGCAAGATCCCTTGAACTGTGTCCTAGTACAAAAGAGGCTTTGAAACGAGAAACACGTTGTCATGGCATGTTCCAGGCCAGCAGCACCAGACTGAACCAGATAATTGCTGTTTCTGCTTCAGCGTGGAAAAAGCAGCAGGTCTTGAGCAAGTCTTTTTTTCCCCCTTAGACATTCCGTGTGATGCTCGGGGTGGGAGGAGGGCTGGGAATGCCCGGGCAGCGGGGGCCGAGGCAGGCTGAGCTCGCAGGGCTGCAGGCACAATGACTCTGCTGGGCTCAGCCCTGTAACCATAGCCCGCGGGGCTGGTGACACTGACCCTGGCTGTGTGACACGGGCTGTCCGTGTTTTGTAACCCTGGCGTGCTGCCGGGGCTGGGAGATGTGGCTCTGGCTGCTCCCTGCTGTTCCAGACCTTTCCCACTGCCCTTCTGCCGGCACTGGGAGCTCTCCCGGTGCCTCCCCAGCCGGGAGAGCTGCTAATTGCAGTGGGCAATTACTGGCCCTGGGCAAGGCACCTGTACCCTGGTGCCCTCACTCCTGGGGTGTAAGACATTGAAGATAACATTTCTACCTATTTTGAAATAATTTATTTTGTAGACATGTCTCTTTCTCTCAGGTGTGTTCCTGCCCCAGGCACATCACCCTGTGGAGGCAGTATTGCCATCACAGGGCCTTTGGGGATGGCCAGACAGGAAAGCTCTGCATGGGAAGGGTTTTTCACCACATGTGCCGTGTTAAAACTGCAAACGGAGCAGGCTGGGTGATACCACACAGCTGATGGAATCAGGAATGCCTGGAAATAAAAGGCAGCTCCCCCAGCTCCTCCTGTGCTTGTGGCTGTCCTGGGCTGGTGGGAGCTGGCTGGGCTCTGTCCTGGGCTGCCTGTTCCTGGCATCCAGCTCTGCACCCACACAGAGGCAGGCCAGGCTAAGCAGGTGGGTGTTTGCTGTGGGATGGACCCTGCTCAGCCCTGCCCTGTCCATGTCCATGGGGTGACAGTGCTGGTGGGAAAGGGTTGGCTTGCCATTACAGCCCTGGACTGGCCCCCAGTGCTGCCCTTTACCTCCTCTCTGCCCTCTGCTCCTTATTCCAGCCCCAGGAGGGCTCCCACGTTGTTGTTTTCTCAGCCCAAGGATGATGGCCACGCTCTGTGGCTGCCAGAGCTGTCGCACCAGAGGAATAATGAGTTTCTCTCTGGAGCACAGCTTTATCCTCAGCACAGCAGCACTCCCTCCTCCTGTGGCTCTCCGGTCGCCTCCGTGCCGTGGCAGCGAGAGAAAAGGCCGAGCTCTAGCCTGCTTTGAAAGCACTGATGAATATGCAAACTATCAGGGCTGAAACATTGCTTATCCACATCACGGGGTGTGCACGGAGCTCGTGCTTGTGCTGCTGCCTGAGGATGTGGACACCACCAGAGTGCAGCTGAGCAGCTTAGGGAAGATTTAACTCTTATTTCTATTCTCGACACTGAATCATTAGTAAGGTTGTGGCCGTGCTGGGGGCCTTTCCCCTTTCCCAGTGCCCTTCTCCTGCTGTGGCAGGGACCTGCTGCTGGGGTTTGACTGCACCTATTGATCGGGATAAAGCTCCAGCCCAAATGGAAGCAGCCACTGATGATTATCTCGTGGTATTAGTGCACGTATTGTGAAACTGGTGTGATTTGAGATGAAATGCGACCTATGGGCATAGGCAACACGTTCTAATGTATTCAGAAATGCCGGGGCTGGCGAGCTATTGCTGCTGGTGCCACACTGATTAAAGCCCAGCTCGCTCTGCTCCCGTTGAAATCAGTGGGAGGTCTGTCACTGCCTTCCGTGAGTGCTGGACTGGATCCAGGCTGCACTTCATGGGATGCATTATTCCACAGGATTAGAGAGGCACAGGGAGTGGGATTCCTCTCCCTCTCTGATCTCTGTGCTTGGATGTTTGCCTTGGAGCTGGCTGGGACATGAAGCACCGGGCCTGGTTTTGGTGTCAGCCCGAGGAGAGGAGTGGTGTTTGCTCCCAAAGGCCACCAGGGCTGGGGTGCTGCTCTGGAAACGTGAGGGACAGGCAGCCCCCTGTGATCCAGAACTGGTGGTGTGGGCACACAGGAGGCAGGGCTCTCATCAGCACTGCCCGTACCAAGTGTTTGACCCACCAGGGCCGGAGTCCTGGCTCAGGAATGAGAAGCCCAGTGTCCCCAGAGGGGCCCTGCTCTGCACACTGCTCAGGACGTGGCTGGGGAGGGTTTTCTCAGGACGCAGATTTCAGACAAAGGAGGTGCCAGTTCCCCAGGGCTGGATTCCCCCGTGGCATGGGAGGCTGCTCGGGCACCTCTGACAGCCCATCCCATCCCAGCCCTGCCACCCCAGCCCCTGGCTGAGCCTTGGCGTGGAGGATGACTCAGGGCCCCGTGGAGGGAGGGGGTGGCACTGACCCCCCCAGCGCTGCTGGGGAACTGAAGCAATCTGTTTATCATGGAAAAACTGCTCTTTGCAGCAATTCAAATGGAAACTTCCCAGAATGAGTGTTGCAGAGCTTTCCCCTTGAATCACCGGGCCTCCCAAGGGCCGCTCTCGAAGGCGATGCCCTCGGGAGAGCTGTCACCGTGCCTGGCGCTCCCTCCCGGCAGCACGAGCCCCTCCTCGGGCCCGCTCCCATGGCAGCACTGCCCTTCCCCAGGCGGAGCAGGCACCACCACACCCGGTGTCCAGGAGCTCTGCGGTGGTGGCACCTCGCAGCCTGGGGACCCGCCCGGGGTGGCACCTCTGCCATCCCGCGGGGCCGTTTGCCTCTTTCCCTTCCCTCTGGCTGCCCGTCACCTTTTCCGTGGCTGAAACGAGCGTCCAAAGGTCACGGGGAGCTCACGGGGCAGGGTGAATAAGGAGTGGGTGATGCCTGAGGTTCCCGAGGCTGCCTTGCGCCCTGTGCCAGCCCGGTGCTGCGGGGGCACGGAGCCCGTGTGCCGCCCCCCGTGCCGTGCCCAGGGATGCTCCAGGCAGGGATGCTCCAGGCACTGGTTCTTGCGAGCTGTGTGCCAGCCCTGAGCTGGCAGGGCCGGCCCTCGCAGCACCGGCAGGGATGCTGGGGCACCCCGCTCACCCCGCTGGCACCGCGGGGCCAAGCTGCCGGCGATTTTTATACGCAGCACCGGGAGGGATGCGAGGGGCAGGAGGGACAGCAGGCTGGGGCACCCCGCTCACCCCGCTGGCACCGCGGGGCCAAGCTGCCGGCGATTTTTATACATTTATTCCTGCCGGCCCCGCGGTGCCTGTCCCCATAGTAACAGAGCAGGCTGGCGCTGCAGCGCTCGGCGACATCCCTGTCCCCAGGGGAAGCCGGGGCCCTGCGTGCCCGTGTCCCCAGCTCCATGTGCAGCAGCCCGGGAACAGCTCTGCTGGCTGTGCCAGGCTCCCAGCGCGTCCCGCAGCCCCGGGAAAGCCGAGAAGTGCTGGCTGTGGGGGCAGCAAGGGCCGTGCTGGGCTGGGGGCTGGCTCGGGGGCACTCGCTGTCCCCAGCGAGGCAGCAGCAGCCGGGATGTGCCGCACGTGTGAGGAGCTGCTGCTGCGGCCGGGACAGCGACCACAGAGGGGTTTTCCGGGCTGCAGCGAGCACCTGGGCACTCGAGGTCAGGAGGCAGCTGCAGCGCCAGGGTTTGAACCCAGCAGCCAGGCAAAGGTGTTTTGAAGGAGACCGGCAAGGCAGAGATCCGTGCTCAGATGCTGGAGCCGCTCGGAAGATGAGTCAAAGGATTCCTGAAGCAATTAGAGCTGCGAGGTGCAGCAGCAACAGCACATCCACCGTCAGCAGCTCTGCCAGGCGCCCTCGGCCAGCTGCTCGTGCTTTCCCTCTAATAAGGCACATTAGGCAATTTCCCATTTAAAATGTTTATGGGAATATATAAATATTCGCTTATACAGAACTTGCCTGGCCCTTTGTGGCAGAGAGTGACTTGAATTGTTATCAATCCATCGAGACAGCCTGAGGAGGAGCCTTCAGCGAGGTGGGGTGGGTGTCTCAGAGCCCCTGGGCACTGAGTCCTCCTGGTGCCAGCGTGGGACACCTCGTTCCGAGGGACAAAGTGCCCCACGGAGCAGGACAGGGCCCCCACGGGCTGTGCCACGTCCCTGGTGCCCAGGCACAGGCAGCGTGGGCAGGGTTTTCCCTCCTGTGATTTCCCGATGGCCGCAGGAAGAGCTTGCACAGACCCGATCTGGATTTAATCAAAGGAATTTTTTCTTTTTCATTTGCTGTCTTATGTGCTGACCACCAAACCACATCCTTCGAGCTTGAGCCCAGCACAGTGAAACAAAAACTAGGCCAGGGCTTTTTGCTGTGTTTTTTTTTCTTTTTTTTTTCCTTTAGTGCATCAGTTGGGTGCAAAGCTGGCACACACCTCTCCTCCAGCCCCTCTGCTCCCACACAGCCCCTTCCCAGGGCAGCCTGGCATTTCCACCCCCCCTGAGCCAGGCACTTGCAGCTCCACGTGAAACCTGGGAACTATCCAGATTATGTGCACTGAGCACAGCGGCAGTGGGAAGCAAATACAGAGGAATAATGAGTAATGACGTGCTGGCAGACCACGGCGGGACCTAATAAGGCACAAGGTGGGGACTGTCCTTGGCTCTGACTTGGCTGGTGCAGCCTGACTCTGGGGTCACAGCAAAGCAGAGGGGCCCTGGTGCTGGTGGGAGCAGTGGCTGTGCTGTGACACCGTCCCTGGCAGCATCCCACAGCATCCAGGGGCGAGGTGCCTGCGCAGGGAAGTTCTCACGTTCACAGAACAGAGAGCAGCTTTATTGTTGTATTTTGCAAACCAAAACCAGCCGGGAGTTTCTGAAGCGTCTGCCATCCCCGCAGAGAGCTGTTTAGTCATGCCTGGTGTGTGTGCATGTGAGACAGCGAGGGGAGGGAGGCTCGAGGACTTTGCAAAGATTAAAGATTTATGCTGACCCTTGAATCTGATCCAAGGCTACTAATCTGCCCTGATCCTATCATCTGCTCAGGGTGGATCTATTTCACTTTCCTTTATGGTACTCCTGACTCATTCCACTCCCACTCCAGGCCAGTCCAGTGGGAATGGGAAGCGCTACCACATATTTGTTTGGGTTTGCATTTAAAGCTCTGGACCTGTAGTGGGTGCAGCTCATAAAGGAAACCCGTGTGGATAAGATATGGGTGAGCTGAATGCTTGGAAACCACTCCCAAACGCAAGCTGAAGTGGTTTGAAATCAAGGTGGAGTGATGTACTGAAGGCACAATACTTGGCAGCTACGCCCAGCGTGTGAGAAAGGCATTTAAATGCAAGGAGGTGAGGTAGGCAGGGCACCCCGCGGGACAGCCCGTGCCTTGCAGGGTGGGCAGTGCCAGGGAGCTGTGCCCACCCCTCTGTCTGCCCACCTGCCCCCTCTGGCTCTGTGTTCTGCACCCCGGTGAGCCCCATGTGCCAGGGGTTCTGCTCTGCCCTGGCACTGCTCCCCTGGGAAAGGCCTTGTCCTGCTCCATCACCCTGCACTGAAAGGCTGCTGGGGCTTTAGTGCCAGAAACAAGGTGTGGAGCAGAATACAGACCTGATTTTTCGGAGGGCACAATAAATCTCCTCTGCCTTCACAATAAAAAATAGCGTGGCAGAAAGAGAAATAGGAGCTTTCCACCCCTCGGCTCTTCTCTGCTGCAGCCACACGTGTCTGGAGGGAGGCTGGGGATGCCACAGCAGCCTGGCCTGCGTGCCAGCTGGGCTGGGGAGGGTGACACCCACCGGGCAGCCCCGGAGCCGCGGCAGACGGATCAGCCCTCCGGGCCTGGCCCGTGGCTGGGCTGACCAGGAGATGCAGCGTGCTGTATCCTATTTCAGATCCCCTGGGACATCCTGTTCTCCTGATAACTGATGATATGTAAATATAGCAAATGCAAAGCCAGGCACTTTCCTAGGGTGCCCAGCCCTGGCTGCTTATAGAACAGGGCCGAGCCCAGCGGCGCGCTCGGAAACGCCCAGCTGCGACTGCGACACGGGCACCAGGCTTTATTTTTAGTTTAAAACCAAGTTCCTGTTTGTAAGGCCAGAAGGGTTACAGGAAGAAAAATTATGAAGTGGGATCATTTACTGCTATTTTCTTTTCACGTGTCCTTCCTTCCTTCCTCCCTCCTGAGAAATGGGATGTAGCACATCGCTATTCCAGGCTGTGATGTTCGCTGGTTCCTGCTCCTTCTGAAGAGGCCCTTTAAGCCTTGTGTAACAAAAGGCTGTGTCCTCCCAGCCCCGCCGATCACCCCTGGTTTGGGAGGCCCTTATCTCATGGACATGAAGGCCTCTCTGACTCGCACCTCCTTTTTCTCTCGGCGGAGTTTTGGGCAGGTGGGGTGACAGGCAGGGCATGGGCATCCCTCCCTGGCTCATCCATCCTTCCCCACGCCGCTGAGCAGCCCCAGCAGCCACGGGATTGAGGGAAACAATGGGAACTATTCGGTCAGGTCAGCCAAAGGAGGCTCTTTAATGAGCAAAGCCGAGCACTAATTGGTCTGGTGTGCAGCCCCCTGCCCACTGCGGCTCTCCTTCAGGCGGGGTCACCGTGCGGGGGCAGCCGCAGGGATGAAGTCTGGTGCGCAGCCCCCTGCCCGTGCCCGCGGCTGCGGCTCTCCTTCAGGCGGGGTCACCGTGCGGGGGCAGCCGCAGGGATGAGTTTGGCAGGTGCCCGTGTGTTTTTCTCCTTCCCGTGCCCTGTTAGGGAAAGGTAATCCCGAGCTGACAGGAGGGAGACTGCGGGCTGCTGACGGGAATTCCCAGCTGAGAGGTTCTGAGAGCGGTGGGAGCTTTGGCGTATGGATTAGGTTGCTTATATATACACTATAGTGTGAAGGAAAGGGGCGGTTTTGCTAATTCCCTTGCACTTTGGTTTAATAAAGCAGGATTTGTCTGCTGGGAAAGCGTAACAGTGGGATTTAAGCTGTGTGAGTCTCATGACTGGTGCTCGCCTGGCTGGGTGGGAAGCAGGGAAGCATTGGTTGCATTCTGCCTCTCCTGTGTTCTCATGTTTTTAAACATGATTTGAGTGCCCACAGCTTCGGATGAGCTTTATTTGGGATGAGGTTTATTTAAAAAATCCATATGCAGATGCTTGCACTAAATTCTGTTTTCCAGAACTGTGGTGCCCTGTGTCTTGGGAGAACCAGGACTGCTCGGTTTGTCAGATCCTTGTGACAAAGACTCACCTAAACTGAGAAGGGGTAAAGAGGGGGTGGCCAGGACACAGGGGGAGAAGGGGCAAGTTAGTATCTGGTACAGCCTCTGTAAGCAAATGAGAGCCTTCTGCTTCTGGTTTTAATGAGAAAGGCCCCAATGGAAATTTTAGATCTGGATCTGCATCAAATCCTCAGAGTTCAGGCAGTTTAGAGCGAGGACTTTGGTCCATTCCATCACTCATCAGAGCTGTCTGCAAAATTCGCATCCCAATACTTTTTTCCAATCATAAATTCTGCCAAAGATGCGTGCTTGGATGTGAAATATTTTTCTTCTTTTTCATCCCTTTTGCTAATTTAATTCCCAGATCTAAACCAAGTTTTCCATCTCAGACTTCCAGGAGCTGGGATGCCTTGTTTGCAGTTGGGAAGCTTTGCTGTGCCCTGTGTGCTGTGGGGGGCTTGGAAAGGTTCACCTGCCTGCAGGTGACCAAGGGAAGGGGAGGCCTTGGGGTCAGGCTGCTTTATTGCCAAAGTTTTGGGATGTGCTAGGGAGCAAATCATTACAGTGCTCCAGGCCTTCTGTCCCTTATTATTGAGAGGATAAAATCCAAACCGACTTTGGGATATGCACAAATGTGCTCCTGATGAGGGCCCTGAGCAACCAGGCAGATTTTCTGAGCAGCCTTGAAGCAGCAAGGCACAGCAGCCACATGCTGGGCTCTCCCTTATTCTTATTCTTTTCTGTTTTCTTGGGTGTACAATAAGAGCTAATCAAAGTGATGCTCTCCAGCAGGCTTTTGTGTATGGCATTACAGCAAAATCCTAAACTCCCCTTCCTGCTCATGCATACAAAGCAGGAGGAACTAGGATGGCTGCAGTCTATTTTCAGATGATTTAACCAAGGAGAAAATAACTGGATGGCTGGAAGAGGAGCATTTGATGGAAGTAACCTTGAAGCACAGCTCTGACATGGTGGCATGAGGTGCCCAGCTCCCTGCGATGGCCCCGCTCCATGAAATGCCAGCAGGGAACGTGGCTTCCAGAGATGACAGAGGACAATGCAGAGAGGCAGAGCACCCAAAATCCAGTGCAAGGGAGGCTGGGCGCTCCCTTCTGCTCTGGGTCCAGCATGGCATACAGGAAGGTTCCCTGCCCAGGTCAGACTCTCAGCAGGTGCTGAGGCAGCAGGTCCTGTGCTTGGCTGCAGGTCCTGCAGCTGCCTGGGCCATGGGAGGCTCTTGGTGCCCCCAGATGTGCTGCTGCTTCCCCCAAAGGAGGCAAAAGAGGCAAAGGCACCAGCTGGGGTTTGCCCCTCACAGCTGGAGAGGGCTGGGTGCTCCTTCAGCACGAGGTGAGGGTGTGGTGACACCTGTGGCACCTCTGGGGACAGCTCCCGGAGATGCTCCTGCCAGGCAGGCTGTGACACCTCTGGGGACAGCTCCCGGAGATGCTCCTGCCAGGCAGGCTGTGACACCTCTGGGGACAGCTCCCGGAGATGCTCCTGCCAGGCAGGCTGGGGCACCTCTGGGGACAGCTCCCGGAGATGCTCCTGCCAGCCAGGCTGGGGCTCACACGGGATTGGCTTTGCTGTTCCTGCTGTCCATCCCTCGGGAACAGCTCACTGCCGGTAACATCCCTCACTTTGGATAGTTCCAAAAAAATAGAGAGGAAGATTTGCTGGGCCCTGCGGTGCCCGTGTGCCAGGAGAGGCTGGGTGTGGTGCTGGCACTGCCAGGCCAGGGGCTGTGCTGTGCGGGGAGCCCAGCCAGGGGAGGGTGAGGCTGAGGATGAAGGTGAGGACACAGCTAAACGCTTCAGGGAAGGAGGACGGCTTTGGTGAGGCTGCATCCCCCTCTGCTGGAAAATCCAAGCAAAGGCAGCAGAGCCGCTGGCCGAGGAGCAAACTTGAGGGGAAAAAAGGAAATGAATGTGCAAGGTACACAAGTGAGGCCCGGGTTCCCTGGGAATTCCCTGCGACTGCAGAGAGAGGCTCCCGTTTGTCCTCAGAGCCCTCAGATTCCCCAGATCCAAGAGCTTCTCCCTCCCTCCACAAGGGAGGATCCTGACCTGGGAGGCACCCACAGTCTCTAAGACATTTTATAATCTTTTTATATTATTACATTTTACATAATTTATATTATTAAATGAAGATATTGTCTATTTTGTAAATATTATCCAGTCTGGGCTCTGCTGGGGTTCATCCCGTGCCTGTCATAATGAGAGCTCCTGCTGGGGACAGCCAGACCCTCCGCAGAAATTGGGACACATCACATTTGTGCCAGGCACAGTCCCACCTCCCGGGATGGGAAGGGATGAGTGAGGCAGGGGCAGCACCTGTGCTGTGCCTCAGGCTGGTCCTGCTGATGTGGCAGCGTCTCACAGCAGGCAGAGACTCCTGACTGGAACAAACAGAATTGCACAGACAGGCTCAGGGCTGTGCTGCTGGTTCAGAGCTGCTCCACAGCCCAGCTGACGCCCAGGGTGTGCCAGGGGCCGCGGCTGATGGGCACGAGCTGCAGAACACTTGGTGGGACTGAAACACACAGGGCAGCCCGGGCTGTGGGCACTGGGGTTTGTCAGGAGAGGGGCTGCAGCACTCTTTGGATAGTGCCTGGCAGCTGGAGGGAGCTCTGCCTCAGAGCAGAGGCTGCAGAAATGCCTCCCCTGGCCTGGCACCATGTGCGTGGTCCTGGGTGGGCAGCTCAGGGCTCAGACTGACCAAGGAGTCCCTGCTGTGGCCCTCCCGAGGTGCTGAACCTGCTCATGCAGGGGTCTGTGCAGAGCTGGAGCCCGGGGCTCTGTGCCTGCCTTTCAGAGCCTCACTCGGAGACTGTTTGTGCTTAGGATGGAAGAATGGGCTTGTTTCCTTGTAGGTTTAAAATCTAAATTACAGAAAGGGTGAAATGCGGTGACTGGGCTGGCCAAGGCCCTGACTGTGCACTAAATCTGCAAGCGTGGGCCTGGCTTTTGTGCAGGGGGCTCTGCAAGTGCCAAGGTCACTGCTAATAAATCTGACTGCAGGACCAGGAGAATTTTATTTAACTTACTGCTAACAGCAGGCTCCTTTTTAACCACCTTTTTTTCCCCCTCTGCTCCCTTCTGCTGATTCATGCTCCTGCTCCTTCAGCACTGGGAGATGCCAGCATTCCTAAAGGTCATCACTTGCATGCAGCAGCTCATGCTGGGGAGTGTTTGCCAGCACCTACGAAATCGAAATGCTAAAGCGACTGCCATCATTTATATTTTCCCTGGCAGTGACAGCCACTTGCACAGCTTGCCAGCCGCCAAGCTGCCACGTTTCCAGGCTCGGGGACTCCTCCAAGGTGAGGGAGGTGTGTGAAAAGCGATGCCTCCCAGTGAACCTGACACCAGGTCACCTTGAGACAGATTCTCACCTGGGCTCACCTGCGGGCAGTCCTCCTGGAGAAACCTCAGCGTGCAAGCGTGCTCCCCTCTGACTTGCACCCCGGCTGCTCTGCGGGGCTGGGATCCCGTGACTCTGGGAAATGGGATCCTGCTGCTCACGTCAGCTTTCACGCAGGACTCACACTGCTGCCTGCCCCTGGGGAAGCAGGGCTGCCCTCCTCCCTCCCTTCTCCCTCTTTCCTCCCCACTGGGGAGAGGTCTCGGTGCTCTCCTGGGCTGCAGAAAGAGGCAGGATTTTGTGCCGTGCTGGCAGCGTGCAAACATCTCTGAGGAAATAAGTTACGGTTTAATTTTCATGGTGTCTCGCTCCTTGTGGCAAAGGAATACTTCTGGTTTAGCTCAAGCAGTAACAGCACAACTGACACGTTTATTTTTTCAGGAAAGAAGCGAGGAAGACAGAGAAATCCTTCCTTTGGCTCCTCGGGTTATTTAATGGCTGTTTATGCTGTGGCAGTACCAAAAACGCTGTGTAAAATGACAGGAGTTACGGGCTGTGGCAGGTTTGGGAGCCAGTTATTTAATGTCCATCTCTTTAGACTAATCTTGCCCTTTCCTTCAAGAGGCTGTAACATAAGACGACACATATCTTGTATCTGCTATCATCTGCCTCCGTTTCTTTTGATATCATTTTCAGTGGGCCTTGAAAGAGCAGAGCTGGAAAGAGCCCCCAGCTGCCTGCTGGCACTGCAGAGCCAGGCTCCTGTTTGTCCTCAGATTCCCCAGATCCAAGAGCTTCTCCCTCCCTCCCTCCCTGACCTGGGAGGCACCCACAGTCTCTAAGACATTTTATATTATTGCATTTTACATAATTTATATTATGAAATTAAAATATTATATATTTTATAAATATTCTATATTTACAAATAACATAATAACCATTATATTAATGGTTATATTATACATTATATTAAATATACACAATATAAATATATTAAAATATATGTTATATTAAATATATTATATTAAATACATACAATATAAATATATTATATTAAAGTATATGTTATATTAAATATATATTATATTAAATATATATTATATTAAATATATATTATATTAAATATATACAATATAAATATAATATACACATTATAAAATTAAAAATTACATAATTTTGTAACATTTTAAAACCCAGCTGAATCCCTGGGAGAAAACCAGCATCCAAAGGAGCTAGGGCACTAGCAGGGCGTGTGTGTTTGCCTCCTCAGAGCACGGACTGTGAACAGGCAGGAGAGCAGAATCTCAGAGCAGTATTGTCGCTTTATTTTGGCTGCAGCTTCTTGCTCGGCAGCAGGGGAGGTGCCACACAGCAGGCGTCTGTAACTCATCAAATCAATTAGCTGCTTTGTCTGCGGGAGGAGTCGTCAGCCAAAGACAAATTAAAGGAACGTCCAGTAAGATTTCCTATTCTGAGAGGAGCTGTCCTATTTTCTCATACTAACGACGGGCTCCGAAATCTGTGCACAACTTAGCTCGTTATTAGAACTAATTGGTGCCAGGCATTCCATCCTCTCTGATAGGGCTAACCATGGGGATGAAATTTTCTGAGTTAATGAACCAGAGAATGGATTAAGAACTTTCAAAGTGCAGTTCATATCTCCGCTTAATTGGAAGCAGGATATTAGTTGGCTTTTTTTTATGTGTACAAAGGAAAGCCGTGTTTGGGGTGGAAAGGCACATGCACAAATGCCTTCCCTGCCTCTGGGGAGCTGGGAATTCCTAATTTCAGTGTGGCAGAGCCTTCCCCAGCCCCGAGAGCCCGAGGAGGGATGGAAATGGCATTTATTCTGTGTGCAGCAATCCCTGCTCCTCCTGGGCAAGGCCCCAGGGGCAGAGACCAATTAGTGGAGCTCTCCTGAGGGCAGGGAGCTGGGCTGGGCTGGGCATCCTCCTGATCAGGGCCACATCCCCAAAACCCCCTGCCCCAGTGCACTCTTGGGTGTTTTCATACCATCCCATTCTGATTGTTGTTTTACGCCTGTTTTACGCTGTTCTGAGGAGTAGGCTTGTGACACCCATTTTTTTCTTTTTTTTCCTGTGTGATTTAGAACTTTTCCTTCTGCCAGCAGTGAAGGAGAATCCTCTGCAGGAATCCCAGGCACAGCATGTAATCTGTGGTTCGTATCCAGCAGCCCAATCCATTCTTCACATGTTTTCTTAGCTCTCTAATATTTGAAACATAATTTGAGAGCCACTGCAGCCAGGTGCACAACAGTAGCTCTTTTCCAACCTGTTGGCAACCAACAAATCCTGCTTTATATCCATTAATTGCCCTTAATTTGAGTCATGAAAGTTTTACTGCAACATCATAAGAAATCCTGAGGAAAAAGACTGTGCTTCAGGGGAACAGAAAATATTCCTCCAGCATCCTGTAGGTTCCTTGTGTTTTTGGGGTGTTTTTGGTTTGGTTTTTTTTTTTTTTTTTTTTTTTTCTGCTACATCTCCATTTGTTCCTGCCTGGCCTCACAGTGCACAAGCCACTGTGTGACTCCCCAGAGAACTGGAGCCACAACATTTGTGAATTTGGGCTTACTTTGACTGGGAATTGAAAAAAACCCCAGTTACAGTGACAAGAAGCCTGGTAAATCACCCCAAAGTCCAGGCAATGCATGCTACTCCTTCAACTCCACTTGGAAGTGCTTCCTGCTGGAAACTAAAGTGACCTCAATCAGTTGTGATAAATGCACCTATGGAGTGGTTTGGTCAGTGTTATCTGCTTAAATAATACTTATCTACTCATAGTTTATTGCGCTCAAGCAGAAAGTCAGTTTATCAAAGTCCATGCAAAAGGCAGGAACTTCTGGAGAGCATCTGGTTGTGTGAGGGTAACTGGGAATAACGAGGTCAAGTGGGCTGTCCCTTCGCCTTTGGAAGTTATTTGAGCTTACAAAAGATTTTATATTTCACTTGCTTAACACGTACTTGGGCTAACTGGAAATGTTGCAGTTGAAGTTCTTTAATCCTTATTCCTCTGCAAGCTGGGACTGGATTTGTGGGTGGCCCTGAGGGCAGCGATGGCACATGAAGGGTGAGGCTGGCACCCTTCACCCATCCCACCGCCGCGGGCAAGGAGGAGAGGGCACCGATGGAATCTGTGCTCAGGTTTGAGGGGAATTTCTTCATGGAAAGGTGCTCAGGTGCTGGAGGGGCTGCCCAGGGTGGTGGAGGAGTCCCCATCCCTGGAGGTGTCCGAGGAATGACTGGCCATGGTGACATGGTCTGGGTGACAGGGTGGACTCCATGACCTCGGGGGTCTTCCCCAACCGGAGGGAGCCTGTGATGGAGAGGGCAGGGCAGAGCCTGCTCCATGGCGGGCTCAGGGGTGTCACCACTGCCTGCCCCGCTCCATGGCGGCTCCGGGGACACAGCCCGCCTCACACAGCCAACATGGCGGGCTCAGGGGTGTCACCACTGCCTGCCCCGCTCCATGGCGGCTCCGGGGACACAGCCCGCCTCACACAGCCAACATGGCGGGCTCAGGGGTGTCACCACTGCCTGCCCTGCTCCATGGCAGCCCAGGGCGACACAGCCCTCCTCACCACAGCCAACATGGCGAGATGAGGGGGGACACACAGCCCTCCTCACCACACCCAACATGGTGGGATCAGGGGTGTCACCACTGCCTGTCCTGCTCCATGGCAGCCCAGGGGGACACAGTCCTCCTCACCACCCAACATGGCGGCTCAGGGGGACACAGCCCTCCTCACCACCTAACATGGTGGGATCGGGGTGTCACCACTGCCTGCCCCGCTCCATGGCGGCTCAGGGGGACACAGCCCTCCTCACCACCCAACATGGCGGGATGAGGTGGGACAGACATCACCACACCCAACATGGCGGCTCAGGGGGACACAGCCCTCCTCACCACACCCACCATGGTGGGCTCAAGGGTGTCACCACTGCCCCCCCTGCTCCATGATGGGCTCAGGGATGTCACCCCCTCCTCACCACGGCTGGATCGGAGGTGTCACGCCCTCCTCACCACACCCAACATGGCGGCCCCGCCCCGCCCTCTCCCGCCGCGGGTCCTCCGGCCGGCAGGGGGCGCTGCGCGGCGGGGCGGGGCCGGCCGGGCCG